GTAAAAGACTGGGAAGTCGATGCAAAATACCCCCAAATAAAAGTACGGGAGCCATTGATACACTAAGAGAAAACACCATAAGTGTCCGGGGCCCAAGACTGTTCAACAGCCTCCCACCAAGCGTAAGAGGAATTACCAATAAAGCCCTGGCTGCCTTCAAGAGAGAGCTGGACAGATACCTGAAGTCAGTGCCAGATCAGCCGGGCTGTGGTTCGTATGTTGGACTGCGTGCGGCCAGCAGTAACAGCCTGGTTGATCAGGCCCTGCTCCAATGGGAGGCCTGGTCGTGGACCGGGCCGCGGGGGCGTTGATCTCGGAATAATCTCCAGGTAGACTCCAGGTAGGGAGGTACCACCCCTCACACACACGACCACTCTCACACAAACCCCCTCTCACACACACTTCACAATACACACCTCTTACACCCCACCAACTTCACACCCACCCTCTACACACCCCACCACCTCTCACACACCACCTCTCACACACACCCCCCTTTCACACATACCGCCTTTCACACACACCGCCTCCACAAAACACACCACTACCTCTCTCACATTACTTACATTCACACACACAAGGGTTGATGTGCAGTTAAGTGGGGGGGATTATTTCTGGGTACACATAAACATATATGCACACACATACGCTCACACACACACATCCGCACATGGTTTCACACCTGAAAAACTGACCTGACACATCCTCCCTCTTTTTTTTTTTCCCCCCCCCCTCTCAATCCCACACACAAACAGACACACAAGCAAACGGTCTCTTCCCCTCACAGTCTCCCCTTCCCTCATGTTTTCCAACCATCACCGTCTCCCCTCCCACAACCCATGGCCCACCACACAGTCTACCACTCCTTCCCCTCAGGCATTTCCCCTCACCCCTTCTTCCCTTTTCACCTACCTCCTTATCTCTACCATCTTTCAGGAGAGAAGAATCTCAGGAAGAACTAAAAGCCCTAAAGAATATTGGAGAAAAAACAAAATTATGGGACGCCAAGCCCATGATAACACTGTTCAAATCGTTTGTGCTCTCTAGGCTGGAATACTACTGTACACTAACGGCCCCCTTCAAGGCTGGCGACATTGCAGCCCTGGGAGAGAGAACAAAGAACTTTCACGGGGAAACATAAGTTTCGTACGATACCTAAATTACGGGAACGGTTGAAGGTCCTTGATCTGTATTCCCTGGAAGCAGGTCATGGAGGTATTGGTACCAACCTGCACACGGAAAATCACTCCCTATGAAAGCAAAAGACTCGGCGGAGATGCAAAATTTCCCCGATGAAAAGCAGGGGCGCTACGATAATATGAGAGACAACACAATAAGTAATCCGGGGCCCAAGACTGTTCAATTGCCTCCTAGCCAGCATTTTCATAAGGGGGATAACCAATAGCCCCTGGCTGTCTTCAAGAAGGCATGGACAGGCACCTAAAGTCAGTACCTGACCAACCCGGGGTGTGGTTCGTAAATCAGTTTGCGTGTCCCGGGAGGAAAAACAACCTTTGTTGATCAGACCCTGATCCACCATAAGGCCTGGTTTCAGACGAGCCGCTGGAGCGTTGACCCCGAAACCCTCTCCAGGTAAACTCCAGTAGCCCCACTCTCTCTCCACCTCTTCGACCCCCGCAACCAAAATCAGATGAGTACACGACACACATCAACACTCAACACAGTACACGACACACTCAACACTCAACACTCAACACAGTACACGACACACACTCAACACTCAACACAGTACACGACACACATCAACACTCAACACAGTACACGACACACACCAACACTCAACACAGTACACGACACACACTCAACACTCAACACAGTACACGACACACACCCAACACTCAACACAGTACACGACACACACTCAACACTCAACACAGTACACGACACACACCCAACACTCAACACAGTACACGACACCACTCAACACTCAACACAGTACACGACACACACATCAACACTCAACACAGTACACGACACACACCTCAAAAAACTAACACAGACACGACACACACTCAAAAACTCAACACAGTACACGAAAACACACTCAACACTCAACACAGTACACGACACACACTCAACACTCAACACAGTACACGACACACACTCAACACTCAACACAGTACACGACACACACTCAACACTCAACACAGTACACCCAAAACAAAACTCAACACTCAATACAGTACACGACACACACTCAACACTCAACACAGTACACGACACACACTCAACACTCACACAAATTCAGTTCAAAATCTTTTTTTCTTTGCAAGTTTACAAAGGTAGTGACATGTTATAGGGAGTCTTATTTACATAGATAGTTTACAGTGTGTAAATGCTATAATAATTTACATTGACAAGAGAGCCACTGTCATGCCTAGTCATTATAGGCAGAACTAAATTCAATAGTTTCAGATTAACTTAATAATAGACAACTAGATCATACTTTGTTAAATTATACATTTGTTTTTATATATAGCAAATAGTAAATTGACTTAAATTACAATATGGGAACAATACATTGGGACAAGTTGAAAGTAGTATACAGGTTGTATATACCAATATATTGTAAAATTATTAAATTACAGTATGGGAATTTACGTTAACATATGAGAATTTATTGTACTCTGAGCATTTACTTCTGGGGTTCTGAGGTCTGGGGAGTAACACAGTGAGTAATTATAATTTGATGCCGTGGAGAGTATTTAGTTTTGGGTGAGTAGGTGGTTATTAAGAAGAGACTTGAATAGATGTACAGACAGAGTTCTTTTGGTATTTGCTGGTAATGAATTAAAATTTTTTGGCCTTTTATGTGTATAGAGTTTTTACACAGTGCGAGATGGACACGGGGAACATCAAGGAGTGGTCTGTGCCTTGTGTTGTGGTCGTGTGTTCTGTTAAGGTTCATTATTGTTCAAATTTCATTGTACAATCTCTTAGTAATTAAATATTCAACTACCTCATTTTGTAATTTTACTAGTAAGCATAAATCACCTTATGTGATTTTCTTATTTACTATTGTTCGCTTGAACACTAGCTGAATTGATACTTTCTCTGTCCATATTACTACCTCTTATTTTTTTAAATACTATCAATTGATATTACTTACTAAAATTAATAAATATCATTTTTACTAAAATTTCTATTTTCTCTTAACATTTTTGACATTAAATAACCATTACTTGTCTAATTACCTTTACCTGTTTTAATACCCCATTTTTCTGTCCTAGATTACTCTTAATTACCTTGTACTGCCATATAACCTCAAGTATAACACAAGTGCAATATTGAAGAAATAAACATTACTTTTTCATTTTTTTGTAATCATTATTACTTACTAAAATTTTATTAAACACCATATTTACTACCGGGTCATTTTACTTTTGTACTTTTTAAACATTTTTTTTATACTTCCCATAACATTTTGTTGCCCAAATTTTTTCAAGTTTTTATATTAAAACCCCAACCTTTGTATTATCCTTTGTACTTGTACTGGGTACCTGTCTACCATCTTACTATCATATTATAACCAAGACATTACCATTGTGATTTTTTACTATTATTCTTTTGTACTTAATTGTGAATTTTATTTTGTCAATTTAAATCTATAGTTATAATCTTGATCTTGTCAAAAACCTATACCAACTCTAGTGCTATTGCAAGTACCATTTCAAATTGTATTTTTATATTTTTAAGTTTATATTATAAAATTTCCCACCATCTGTCCATTTAAAATTTGCTTTCCATTAAATTAATTTTAGTCCCTTATATATTTTCTCCTTTTTTTTTAGCTTTATATAACTATCCTAGTTTATATATCCACAACTGTTAAAATAATCAAGGTGCTATTCTCAGGTGCTAAAGTAGAATAAGCTCATAATTTTTGCCATTATATTCCAAAGCTCATTATTTGATTACCACTTTGTTGTTCACCACAACCTATATTAGTCCCTTTTTATTATAATTTTAAACTATAATTCTAACTTTAAAAAAATTTCCTTTATAGTACTACCTACTATCATATTCCCAAGCACTATTATATGATCATCACTTTATTGTATTAGTCCCTTAGCTCATTATTTTACATTTGTTAAATAATTCAGGTGCTCTTTTTTAGCTTAAGACTATTTACTTTTTTTTATACTTAATTCTAACTATAGATTCACTACAAATCTTATGATTACAAGCATTGATCCCGATACCAACCTCTTATTTAATGACTTAAATGAATCAAACAGTTACTGTAATTACTACACTGCAGAACAATCAAAGGCACTTCTCAGTGCCAACAACAACATAACACTTTAACTACAATATCAGATCTTAAGCAAGCATTACGATGACCTCATAGCATTACAAAAATTCCTTACATGCCAATATGTCCATCATTACACTAACTGAAACCTGGCTAAAGCCTGATAGTACAGATGTCTATGCCATTCCTGGTTACACAGCCATACACAACTGTGGGCCAGACCAACAAGGGGGTGGCCCCAGCCATATACTACTCAGACCAACTAGAATGTATCACTAATACTTGCACAAGGGATGAACATGGGAATATATAATAGCTAAATTCAAATCCAAATACCTACAAAAACCTTCACATTGATAAACATCTACAGAGTTCCACAGTCAAACATTACCAATTTAGTCAAAATCTAGGAAGTATGATAACTGATGCACGCATGAACAAAGATCACTTACTACTCTCAGGTGACTTCAATATAAATCTCCTGCAAGACCAGGACCCACACGTTACTGAATTTTACAAACACAATGAGTAACTGTATGTTACTACCAACAGTAAAAAAACCTACAAGAGTTACAGAGACTAGTGTTTCCCTACTTGACCACATCTGGGCCAACAACATATCCCCCTTTTAAAATCAGCATAATTACAGATAATACCACAGACCACTACCCTACTTTCCTCATAACAACTCTTGGTAAACTACCCAAGACCCTACTAAAGTTACCTTCAACTTCACATGAGGCAGACATTAATAACTTCACCAACACATTAGCAAACATTGATTCACACTGACTAGAAATCTATAACAGAATTGACGAATGTATTAATAATTTCTAAAAAGACGCCAATACCACTATAAGCAACACTGCCCTAAAAAAAACATATACAGATGACACAAAGAGGACTTTGGGAACACTCCCTGGCTAACACCCACATTCTCAAATCCACAAATACAAAACACCATATGAATAACAGTACAGAATGGTCACATAACCAAGACCAAACAAAACGTTACTCGTCATCCTAACCATGCTGATAAGAAGGCAAAAAAAATTGAGAATATGAAGAACAGATTATCCAACTTACGAGTGATATAAAAAAAGACCTGGAAAACCCTATCAAAATTTCTGAACAAAAAAGATACACGACATAGCTAATAAAATGACAAAATCAGATGAACCCCAACCCCACCAACAAAACAGCAAACAGACTCAATGATTGTTAATTCCCCCCCTTTTTTCTCCACAAGGACAAAACTGCCAATAAAATCCAAAGCTCAATACCCCACCAAATGACTACCTCACCGCAACTACCCGAACAAAGACAGTTCCTAGCTCCGACTAACCCAGTACAATCTCCCTTATTATCAAATCACTAAAAAACAAGCAAGATTTAAATCTTACCACCCTTTACATAACAAAAAAGTGTCACAATCTATCCTCCAATCATTGCAACACTCTTTAACAAATCCATTGAATCCTCCACCTCCCTACATACTCAAAATAGCAAGACACCCCGTCCACAAAGGAGAGACCAAACAAGTTGAATAACTAATAGGCCAATATCCAACCTATCAACCCTCTCTTCACCAAGCTTCCGAACGCTCCGCGTAAATAGGGGGTGTTATGTGGAAGGCTTAGACTGGGAAGGGTTTATCTCCCAAAACATCTCAACCCCTGCCAATTTGGATTCAGCCTAATAAAAATACTAATGAGCATGAAACACATGCTAGAACATATATACACTCAATAGTGAAAATAAACTCCACTGATCTTCATGACTTACGAAAGCTTTAACAGTACCATACTTACTCCACGAAAATTGTCACACTATGTATAAGAGCACCCCTCAACTACCTCAAGTCATACCTCACAACAGAAGGCCAATATGTGAACCAAATGGGCGAAACCCGACCTCGCTCAGCAAGGAGATGAGCATATGTGTGTACGGGCGCACATGACTAAGTATCGCTGTGTGTGGCGCGCTTCTATCTCTCTTTTCGCCTAAAACATAAACTGACCTTGGGGGGTCGCCAATGCTTCCTGCGAAGAAGAGCGTGACAATCGGACGCTCTCTCACATATTTGCAGCAGTGAGCACGTGGACTCATACATCTCTTCTCCTTAGCCGAGCCCTTCACGCGCTCCGATCTCTCACGTAAACAATAGCTCCTCGAATATATCATGAACAATAGACTACCTTGATTCGGTCTCGAGAACTAAAACTAGCACGAACAACAGATACGATAACCTACTTCAGTTCGATCTTCTACTGAGTTGGTATCATATCTACAGAGTGAGTCTCATCTTGATCTGCTTAGCTGGTAGTACTCTCTTATTCACCGAATCAGGCAGTTGCTATCATAACAGGAGATATAGATATCTATATATTCGACCAACACGGATGTTGAGCTTTCTCAACTGACAAAATGAGAGATATGCAGTATGAGATCATGAAAACACGGCTTTCACACTAGTCAATCTGTATCTCACATAAGCAGTTGGCACTACGAGGCACGTACAGAAGTCATCTCTTATGGTTGAGCACAGTACACAGACATACATGACAATTTGACACAGCTTACTAGTCTGTGTAACGCTATAAGAGAATTGGAGAATATTTGGTGACATAGGTGTGAGCCGGATCTTATTCTAAATATCTATCTCATTTCTACATGGTCTATCTTCATTACCACTTCTCTCTGCTGAGATGATTTCTTAGACATGATGAGAAAAGTAATTAGTACAACGTATATACTTGGATAATAAACAGAATACTATTTTTTATTTCACATAGTTTAAGCAGATAAATGGTATCTTAGTTACACATGCAGGCGGTGAAGTATATCAGAGACTGAATCTTGCTCTACAGCACAGGTATTTATAGTATAGATGTTTGTACAAAAACAGAATCAATATAAAAGAGCATGACATTAAGCAAGAAGTATATAGTACATGTTAACGATACAACAGTAGACCGAGTGGGTTGGGGTAATGAATATGGGTAGTAGATTATGTGGGGATTTTTAATTGAGTATGTGTTTTTCTTAAGAATCACATAGATCACACTATTATGTGACTCAGGAGATCCTCTGTACTCCTAGGTAGATTTTGGTATATCTATCCTATAGTGAAGTAAGCGCGTGTGAGTATGTATTGGAGAATCAAGCAAATAGGAGGATGATCTGGAGAACATGAAGTGGATCACAATTTAAGATTTTAGTACTGTGTAAGGTGATAAGTATATACTTGTTTTAAGATGTTTGGGGAGCACGAGCTTGATGACCTCTCTCTATCATACAGTGTTATAGTTGAGTAGTTTAAGTTTGAGTTAGGTGGTGGGGGTTTGTAGTAGTTAAGGTAAGTTGAATGATTGTGTAAGAGGGGTTGAAGATATGGGGAGAGGGTGTGGTTTAGGGGTATGGTTGTGTGGTGGTGATAGGTATGATGATGGGAGGTGGTGTTATATAGGTTGGTTTTGTGGTTGATGAGAGTTTGAGTGTTGTATGGAGATATTCTGAGGTGGAGTGGGAGGATGTAGGATGAGAGTTTAGGTGGGGGGGGGGGTTAGAGGGTGGATAGTTGGTGTTGTTTTGTTATATTTTGTTGTTTGTTTTTGTTGTTTTGTTTGTGTGGGGGGGGTCTGGGTGGTGGAGGGGTGTGTATATTGTTGTGTGGTGTGAGATTGGTGTTGGTTGGGGGCGTTACCCCCCCCAAAAACCAAAAAAATATGAATAACTGAACCTTATAAATTGTTATTTAAATTTTTTCACATTATATCACATAAATGTTAAACCTAAAACCGAATCTAACTTTATTTATTTTTAAATAAAAACCCTTTACAGAACCCTTCATATGCCCTGTCTTTGTAATATCACTTGGCTTTATGAAATTTTTTACTTAATGTTTTACAGATTCTCTTTGCTTTAATCTTAATTAATTTTAAGCCACCCCCGTAATGTAGCATAGTATAAGGGCTTTGGAAACTGCTCTTATCTGTTTTTTTTTTTGTCCCTCTGTATGTGTGCAAAAATTTTAAATAAAAAAAATAAAAAAAAAAAAAAAAAAGGAAAAGTTTGAGTGGAGGTTTTTAAATTTTTGAGTGTATGTTTGTTTTGTATAGGCCAAAAAATAGGTATGGATATTTCAAGGTGGTTAATTTTTGATTTTTAAACATTGGTGGGTAGCTGTCGGGAATGGAATTTTTTTTACATTTGATGACCCTTTTGCTGGTTTTAGTAGTCTGAGATGGTTTTGTTGTTAAACCCCAAGCCCCCAAATTTCCCATAGGGAGATGGGGTAAATGAGAGAGTGAAACAGGGAAGGGAGAGCGGGGTGTAAAACATGCCCCTTATCTTTGTTTGTATGCCTACTCCCTTTAAAAATTTCTTTGAGATTTGCAATATGTGTTGAAATTTGGGGCCTGTAAAGGTGGATTCTTAAGAATTTTCCCTCTGGGGCTTGTGAAGGTGATCCGTTTATCATTATTTTAAGTGGAACATTTAAGCTTTTTTTCCAAATGAAAGAAATAGGTTTTGTCAATATTGAGGAACCTGCTAATCACAGGGCAGGTTGTATTTTCTGTATTTTGCATTTACAGTGTTGGCTAGTATGATGGCTTGGGTGAGAGTAGACTATGTAGAATCATCTGAGAAAATATGGGTTTAAATTTGTTGAGGCATTTGGTAGGTCTTTGATGTAAAGGAAAGGAAGGGGGGCCAAGGACATTTCCCCCTGCTTGAGCCGACGTAATTGGTTGTGGGGAAAGAGTTGATCCATTTGTGTACACATATTGGTTCTGTTGCAAAGGGTTGATTTTAGGTAGTTCCAAAACACAACACCCATCCCCTAACTTAAATACACGATCCCTTTTCCCCCAGCCACACCCAAAACATACCCACATCAACACCCATCCAACAAACACACACACACACACACACACACACAACACCCCAACACACCACAAAACCCACACACACACACACACACAACCACACACACACACACACAACACACACACGCGCCGCACAGAACCCTTTTTCCCCGTTAGTTAGGCCCATATGGAGTATCGGCACCATTTGGAACCCACCGCAAACAGAAAGAAACAAGAAAGTGCAAAGGTTTGCAACAAAACTAGCCCAGAGTAAGAGGTATTCTTACGAGAAGGTTAAGGAAAACACCTGCCACAGGAGGAAGAAGAGACAGGGGGGGGCATGATTCGGGATACAAAATATGAGAGGAATTGACAAGGTGGACAAAGACAGGACGTTTCAAATGGGGGCACAACAACAAGGGGGGCACGTTTGGGAAGTGAAGACACAGATGAAACACGGGGGTGTTAGGAAGTATTTTTCAGCCCAGAGTATCAGAAGTGAATATTGGGGGGCGTGTATGGAGGGAGGATCCATACATACTTAAGCAGAGGGGATGTAAAGCTCAAGGTTTAGGGAAGTACCAGTAGCGCCGTGAAGAGGCGGGCCAGGAGCTTGAACTCGACCCCTGCAAACCCCAAAAGGTGATACAAAAGGTGAGTACACACACACACACACACACACACACCCCACACAAAAACCACACACACACACAAAACAAACACAACACCCACACACACAAATTTCATCAGACACACACTAGTCCCAGAGCTAATGGGATTTTCCTACGAAGAAAAGGTTAAGGGAAATCGGCCCCGACGACACTGGAGGACGGAGGGTTTGGGGAGACATGATAACGACATATAAAATTTGCGCGGAATATAAAAGGTGGACAAAGACATAATTTTCCCAGAAGGGGATACAGAAACAAGAGGTCACAACTGGAATTTGAAGACTCGATGAGTAAAAGGGTTAGGAAGTATTTCTTCATCACAGATTGCAGGCAGGGGAACAGCCTAAAATGACGAAAGTAAAGGCGGGAATTCATGTTTTAAACGAGGTTTGATAAAGCCATGGGCAGGAGAGAGGGGAAAACAGTAGAAATCGTAAGAGGCATTGCCAGGGCTAGACTCGCCCCCTGAAAACAAATGGTGAGTAAAAAATAGGTGAGTACGCCCCAACACACACACACACACACAAAAACACACACACCACACAACACCACACACTAATTACTGGGTGGTACTACACACAAAAACAAGCGGGGACTAAAAAGTCATAAAGATTGGGGAAGAAAAAAGAAGACCCAGAGGAGATAGGCTAGGGGACAAAAACTGAAAACCTACTTAAGGAGAAAGATTTCGGGTGACCAAACCCGAGCACGTCTCCAAGGAGCCCAAAACCCAGATAACTGCTGCAGCATATGGGCCCTGGCAAACCTGAAAATAACTTTCCCGATACCTAAAAAAGGGAAATCGTTCAAGAACTTACACTGTGTAGTCACCCAAAAAATTGGAGTATGCAGCACCAGTTTGGAAAACCTACACTGGTAAGCACGTCAAGAAGTTGAAAAAGTACAAAGGTTTGCAACAAGGCTAGTTCCAGAACTCGGGGGAAAGTCCTACGATGAAAGGTTGAGGGAAATAGGATGCACATGGAGGAAGAAGGGTCGGGGGGAACATGATAACACTACAAGATACGCGTGGGAAAAGATTGGTGGACAGAGACAGGATTTTTGAGAGTGGACAAAAACTAGGGGCCTATTTGGGAAATGAAGACTCAACAGTCACAGGGTGATAGGAAGTATTTCTTCAGTCAAAGAGTAATCGGAAGTGGAAAAGCCCCAGAAGTGACGTGTGGAGGCGGAACCATACATGCTTTAAAAACGAGGTTAAAAAAAGCTTTGGGGGCAGAGGAAGGAGGCCTAGTACGATCGTGAAAAGACGGAGCCAGGAGCTGATTTCGACTCCTGCAAAACCCCAATTTGGTGAGGACAACACACAAACAACACTTAACTCCCCCAGCCACCCGAAAAACACACCCCCCACCCCAAAACACAAAAACCACACAAAACACACACACACACACACCAAAACAACACACCACACCCCCACACACCCCAACACACACCACACACACACACACACACACACACCACACACACACACACACACAGCCTACCACCTTACAAACCTACACCCCCAAAAAAAAGGTGGCTCAGAAAGGAAGTCAAAGGCTCAAGGA